GGGAGGAGGAGAGAAGGGGGAGCACAGTGTGCGGGGGGTAGGTAGATCGTGGAGCACTCCGTGTCCATGAACCAGATTCCGGTTGGGGCAACAGCGGCAAGCGCGGGCGGGCAGACAGCGTGACATACACATACTCACTCACTCTCTGTCCACACACACATACACACACACGCCCCCGGTATTCTTTCCCCGGGGACCAAGCCACACGACGCCACCCTGACATGAAAGGATTCGCAGCGCAAAGCCGCGTAATTTTTGCGAACCGCGCGCGGGAGGTCGGCTGGCGTCGCGTCGGCAGGCGGGCGGGCGGGCCGAGGTGTGTGTGGCGTGTCCTCCCCTCGGCTCGGCCCGGCCCGGCGACGCCTCTCCGTGGACGCGTCCGGAATACCAATGCGACGCCGCCGAGGACGACGCGCGCCCCCCCAGCCGCAGTGCGTGGATGTGACTCCGTGATGAAGAAAGCAAAACAAAGTGATTACCGGTCGGGTCCGGCCGGCCGGCCGGCCGCTTTGTCGTGGGAAGCCGGCTGGTTCCTTCGCACGAGCGAGTGTGGCCGGAGCCGTTTAAATGGGAAGCGATGATCTCATTTCGGGAGGGAATCTTGATGCCGCGACTGAGCCGCGGACAGCTCCCCAACCTCCTATCCCCCCAGAGGGCGGCCGCGGTCACGGCTAAGTACACGACGACGACGACGTCGACCCGGTCGCCCCCGGTCCCCCGCGGTCGTCGACGCCCAGGAGGTGTCAGCGATCTCCCAGCTGAGACGCCGCCCGCCGCGCGCGCCTGTATGGTCTCTATGGCGTGTCCTTCCCGGGTGCCCCCGCTGCGCGCGCCGTTCTCTGGCGGCCGATTCGTCCGGAAGCGTTGACCGGGACGTTCGACCACCACCACCTCCTCCACCTCCTCCTCCCCCACCTCCACACCCTGCGGCCCCCTCCTCCCGGACTGGGCAACGCGGCGCGGCGGCGTCCTTGGATAGCGAGCCGCCTGACCCTGGAGGGTCGCCGACGACGCCCTCCCCCCCCCCTCCACCTCACTCCCCGGATCCTTCGCGGCGACGACGACGGGTTTTAGCGGTGCATAGGATTATCCACGCCTCCATATTTGACTTTCATAAAAGGCTCCCTCGATATCGCCAGCAACTAACTGCAGCAGCAGTGCTCGCCGCCCCACCACTTCACCTACGCCAGGCGCCGGGCCGAGGAGTGGCGGGGGCACAAATCCCACAGTTCTGATATGAGGAAAGAAGTTTGTACTGATCTCATCTTTCCACGGCGAGAGTGAGCGAGAGAGGACCGAACCCCTGCCAGCCTAGCGTAGGCCACCCGCTCAACAGCTCTGCCAACACCGGCGGGATTTGCCTACCCACGGGGCGCTTCCCCAGCTTCACATCTTCTCTTTCCCCCAAACTATCCCACTTTCTCTTGATCATTTCGAAAATTCCTGTGTGCTGCATTTATCGTGATCCGCTGCAAACGTTCAGTGTTTCCTGCTTCTCCCCCCCCCCCCCCCACGGCCAGGTGAGTCGCGCAAGCTCTGCTCATTGGCTCGGGTCCAGGTCACTCAGACACTGACCTCCCGCCCCGCTCCCGCCGTGCCCCCCTTGTTAGTAAAATACTCTTGCCTTTTTTTGTACCAGTTTGCCCTGCTATCTCCTTGTTTCGTACATTTTACGACGGAACAAAAATCGTCTGTTGCAGCTCGCTTTCCGCGTTTGCGATGAAAAACAACACATTATCACTTTGAGAACCGATTTGAATGCGACGCGGACGACACAAGATTAATCGAACGTCTTTCTACCGTCGCACGTTTGATAAGGATGCGAGTCCTTGCCGGGGTAGAGTGCGCGCGTCTTTTTTTCCCCCTCAACTCCCTGCCTCATTGTCACTGCCATGAGCACGGGTTGCTCCGCGGGCTCCACGTCCGCCAGGGGCGGCCATGGGTGGCCATGGCGCCCGACAGCCCGCCAGCAAGCCAATCAAATCCCAATGCTGACTCCTGACCCCGGGGCTCTTTTGAGCGGAACGGGGCGTCGTCGTTTCAGAATTGATCAACGTCGTCGCTGCTCCCTCGACTGCATGTGAGACTATTAATAACAGTGAGACCCGGTTTACTCTGCCTTGCGATTTTAAAACACACCCCGTACTTGCCAGTTGCGCGCGGCGGTGGCCTCTGGAAATGGAGCGAACTATTTATAACAGTGTCGTGAAAAAGCTCGAACGACTTGACGGACACGTTGATGGATTGCTTTCGGGCGATGCGTGGAGCGCAGTGGGCGGCCCGCGTGCCGGGCGGGG